CTGAAAGACCAGGGACCAGAGTGCTTTGCCACTTAGCGGAAAGCCAACACAGGCAGGATATTGTATCTATTTATACATTGCCAGTACTGGAGAGACTAAAGGGCATGTGGGCTGCTTCTCAGTGAAGGCTGACCACTCTGTCACACACCCCCACACCCCTGCCTCCAACTCTTCTGCTGGTCACCAGGCACAACCTAGTGAGCCCCAGCTTTGCCTGTCATTTCCACTACTGGCAGATTTTGATCCCAAAATAGCTCTTTCTGTGGCAAAAGATCTATCAATAGTATTCTCTCAAAAACACCATTGAAACGCGCCCTGTTTTTAGTCACAAAAGAACTCCTAGATCCATCTAGATCTTAGATATTAACGGAATCGCGTATTTTCTATATTCTGTTCATTTTCTCCTGTTTTAAATTTTATTGTGTTTTATCCTTTTTATTTTTCAAGGTCCCTTACTTATGTGAATTGTGATTAGCAATGATTATGTGACGATCACTCAACTTATCCCTGGACTTTGTTTTACCTGTTGTTATGCATTGTTTTATGTGATATTTTGATGCTTAAGGCCTTGGGTCAGCTGAGCTAATAAATGCAAGGAAAGGCCTGTCGTTTTCTGTGCTGCCCTGGGAGGGAACCCTGAAGTGCTTCTACCCATTGCAGCATTTTCAAGATGAGGCGCACTGATCCTATGACTGTGACAAGTCCGGTCAGGCACCCACGGCCCAGCTTGTGCCACATGTATCATGCATTTTGGCCCTTAGCTTCATCAAAGAATGGAACACTCATCTTGTGCATGGCAGGCAGATCTTCTCTCTCGCTCCCTGAAGGAACTGGGTAAGGTTTGGGGGCAAACAAAGAGAGAGGAACATGTGGCAGCTTTTCCCTCTTTTCTTTTCCTGTCTTCTTTTCCCTCCTTATCACCCATCTCATCCTATTCCTGCCACCCGCCCTCATGATTCATCTGTGAAAGAGTCATGGCCCACTTTTGAGTTCCAACTGAGTTTGAGAAACACGGAGGAGGAGGAGGAGAAGTAGAGTGGATTTATACTCCGCCCTTCACTTGGAGTCTCAGAGTGGCTTACAATCTCTTCCCTTCCCCTCCCCACAACAGACACCCTGTGAGGTAGGTGGGGCTGAGAGAGCTCTTTCGAGGACTGCTCTTTAGAGAATAGCTCTGAAAGAACTTGTGAATGACCCAAGGTCACACCAGCTGCTGCATGTGGAGGAGTGGGGAATCAAACCCTGTTCTCCCAGATTAGAGTCTGCACTCTTAACTGCTACACCAAACTGGCTCTCAAACCATGATAAAGGGAAGTGAGCTGATTTAATGAAGAAGTCATTTCAGCATTAATCTGTTATTTAAATGATACGAAACATTGAGGTTATCTCCCCATATAAATGGGGCCCAGGCATTGAGGAATGGAAGGACCTTGAAGGCCATTTAATCCAATTTCCTGCCTTGATCCTTAGTACCAAAGACATTTTCTTGTTTCATTTCCTTTTCCCCACAGTCAAATATATTACGGAGTTACAGTTCCATCTTGGCTAGATTTCTGATTTTCCTTCTTTAAAATATTATCAAATGAAGTTTAATCAAAGCTGTGATTGGCATTTTGCCATTCTGTCTTTTAAGTGGTGAGGGAGAGTGCTGAAAACTATTACATTTTGTGGGCATTGATCACATACATATTTGATTATCACGCTGGCAGCTGGCCACATGTGAGCTTCTTAAGGGTCAAAGTCACAGGCAGACAGAATGAATGGAATCTAGCAAGGAAAAAGGATTATACAATGACTGAGAGACTCTTTGGGATGTGAAGGGTATGGAACCCACAAATGGTCCAGTTTTGTGGTTCCTTGCCCTGTGAGTCCGTACATGTGGCCTATTTTGTTTTACCTTTTATGATGGACACTGTGGAGTTAATACAGTGCCATACACGGGAAAGTTTTGTTAGGGGGGCTCCAAGGGGGCAGTTTAGTATAGGGGAGCTGACTACATCACAGGGTTGTTGTTGTTGTTGTTAGGAAAATATAAAGGAGGAGAGACATGGCTAGGTAAGAGTTGACAGGAAAGAAGGGGGGGGGGGGAGAGCAGCACCTGGGGCAGTTTGGAAATAATAAAGAAAGGTCAGAATCTGTGTCTGGGAGTTGTATTCTCCTCGCATTCCCTTCCTACACCCCCCCCCCGCCTTTGCAGGCAATCCGAGAGGAGAGCAAAGACAGGAACTTCTTCTTGCACCTCCTGAAGCAGCTCAGGCACCAGCAGCAAGCCAAGCAGGAGCTGAGATGTGCTTCCCCTCCCCTGGCAAGCCAGGTGGATGCTTCAAAGAGAGGGGGGGATGCATGGCTGTTTGGGGAGGGTGCCAGGCACTTGTAGGCAGTGTTCCCTCTAAGCTGAGTTACTGTGGGCTAGCTCACACTTTTTAGCCTCTGGCTCACACATTTTTGTCTCAGTTCAGGGAGGATGGCTCCAGAGCAAACTAATTTATGCAGTAGCCAAATCACTCGCTCACGACTTTAATGCCAGTAGCTCACCAAGTAGAATATTTGCTCACAAGACTCCCCAGCTTAGAGGGGACATTGTAGGCACCCCCATGCATATGGGCCTGAGTAAATATCATGAAGTAGGTAACATGTTTATGCTTCTCCCTGTACATCTGTTCAACTGCAGTGTGGTTCATAAATGGAAAAATCTTCTTTGCAATGAGTAAGAGTCTGCTTAAGAATGAATCCTCTGGCCCTTGATGATTGATGCATGTCTTAGAGAACAGCCAGAACATTGAAGGATGCATTTTAAACCCCAAAGTGTGTTTCAGTTGGCATAAACTGGGAAGCTTCTAATCAAGGGACTCATTGCTGACAATTATCAACAGTGAAGAGTGGCTTACTGTGCATGCATATTTTAATAAGCAGAACTCTGACTGTAAATAGAATGCAACAGTATTTTGTAACGAAAGCAACAGATGGTATACACCGAAGACTTGGCTGTTTTTCATTTTGTGTTAGTTAAAAATGTAAATGAGCCGTCGAAAGCTCAAAGCTGGTCAGAATATAGGCATGCGGGTGTCCATATTCATTAAAGGAACTTAGCCCTAAATGGGAACATGTGATGGGGAACTCATTTGAGAACATAGCCACTTAAAGTGTCTTAATGAAGGCCACAGTTTGAGTCCAGTGGCACTTTTAAGACCAAAAATGTATTATTCAAAGCATGAGCTTTCATGTGCAAAGAACACTTCTTCAGACAAATGAAGGCCAATTCGTTTTGAGAGCCCCAGACATACATCTATAAAAAACAAAAAATTGGCACAATGTTTAAATCACCCAAAAACAAGTACAACCTATACTGCTAAAATATTTAAATACAAGTGATTTAAGACCTAGTTCTCCTTGGCACAGCAGCAATGACAAGATTCTGGTATGCTGGTTGTAGGCTCAGATCCAGGCTTGTGGTGGAGTACTGGTAGATGGTTTACTACCCAGTGTAAACACAACTTCTGATGAGTATCTCCAGAACAGACTAGTTATCCTTTGGGACCAAAGAGGAGTGATGGGAAGTGACTATACATTTTGACACATTTGCGATGATGTGAAAGATTGGAAATTTAGATGTTAGCAGACATCTACATTTCTTAGTAACTTATAGAGAGACAGAGTCCGGCTTAAGCCATGGAAAAATCAATTCAGCTGTCAAATCTGAAAATTCTGAAAAACAAGTAACTGTGCAGGTGGCTAAATTTTTGGTGGCCGTAGTAAAATCATGTTGTAATAATAACATGGGAATAAGCCTTAGGCTTCCCTTTTAGTGTGTGGAGCTAGTTTGGTATAGTGGTTAGGAGTGTGGACTCTAATCTAGGAGAACTGGTTTTGATTCTCCACTCCTCTACATGCAGTTGCCGGTGTGACCTTGGGTCAGTTACAAGTTATTTCAGAGCTGTTCTCTCACAAGCAGTTCTCGAAAGAGCTCTCTCAGCCCCACCTACCTCACAGGGTGTCTCTTGTGGGGAGGGGAAGGGAAAGGAGACTGTAAATCGCTCTGACACTCCTTTGGGTAGTGAAGGGCGGAGTATAAATCCAATTTCCTCCTCCTCCTCCTCCTCCTGTTTATGCTTTTTGTTGTGAAAACTGTAATTAAGAAGAGGACATCCCCAAACACTGTTATCCTTTAGCAAGTATAGGATACAGTCTACAGCTAAAATCCTACAGAGCACTGATGCAGATGGAATTATTTCTGTCTTAGGAATCCCAAGTCCCCCTGGGGGGGCAGGGAAAACCCCCCCCCAGAAACCCATTCCCCGGCGTCGCCGGATCGGGCCCCGGGGGGAACTCCACCCCGACATGCGCGTCACCCGGAAGTGATGCGGGCACGCCGGGCACACTGGGGGTGGGGCCACTCTATGGTTTTCCCTTGTATGGCCGTAGCCCTGCCCCCAGTGTGCCTGTCCTCCCGTCACTTCCGGGTGACGTGCGTGCGGCGCACAAGACACTGGCCAGGAGCCCTCCGCTCCCAGCAAAGATAGACTTGGCAACCCTATTCTGTCTACAGAGCACAACTTTCTTGCCTCCGCCTGCAATTGTAGCCCAGAAACTCTACGTGAAGTTTCAAAGAACATATCGGGCTGCAGTGGTGAAAAGATCTGAAACCCTTCATTCTGTAGAAGCACTCTGTGGGATCTGAGCCTAGGCATCCCTTTTTCTTATCTATATGAGGAAATATCTGTGTGCTTTTTATGAACATTTCCTGTTAGGCATATGGAATATTCCATCTTACCAGCAAGAACAAAATGCCATAGCGTGGGACAGGTTCAAATCCATGACCTTGCCTTTGACAGCAGAAGATCCCCTGCCGCTGTATATCCGCTCCACATATGGGTTGGCATGTTATGCAGTGTACAGTAGCAGTATGGTACCAGGTATCCATAGTTTAATATGGAAGTATAATGACTAGTCTGATTTATTCTAAAGAAGCTGATGTTATTAATATGTGTATTTGTTTCTAGATACTGTTAGAAGTTCTGTAGCAAAGCTGTTCTTCAGCTGCCCCCTGAAAGGCCATTACTGCTTGTACAGTAAATCCAGCTTTATTCTCATCAGCCGACAGCCTCAGCTTTGGATCCATATCATGTTTCTCTTTCAGCAGGTGTGTGAAATACGAACCTATAAATGGTGGCACCTTGGTCATGTCACTCATTGTGAATTAAAGTCAGTGCTTTAATTGTAATCTATTTAGGAGAGGCTGAACTTTTATCGCTGTTGTCGCAAGTGTTTGTATCTGTGTTGGGTGGTGAATCGTTGAATTGGGGTTGGGTAATTCCATTTGTTTTAGCAGCAGTGACATGATGGCATGTGTTTTTACACAGGGATCTTGCATTTACTTATACATACATGAAATGAAAAGGCCAACAAGGATGCAGCTGCAAATCCAGCTCTCATTTATTTAGTTTCCACCGGATTGGCTGGCTGTTTCAGAGATTTCTGGTGCAGGGGGTACTTTCCTTTGCCCTTGTAAACAAAGGAGAGCTGGATCACTGGATCACAGACATTAACATTAAGACCTAAGCCTACCTGCATGATTGGTTATCTGGAAGAAATGGTCCCATAGATATTAGTAGAAAGCAAATATATTTATCCTCATTAGGATGAAGACCTACGAGGGAATTTTGCTGCAGCGAAGTCTACAGGATATAAATATTGTTCTTTACCCACCGCTGAAGCTAATTATTAATTTAATTAAATCTGAGTTTTTGATTAACATTGCCTTTGTTATGCTAACAGATCTAAACAAAATAAATTTCAGTGTTAACAAGCATGATACAAATTATAATCAAAGTTGTCTTATAGGAGGCTGGACATCAAGCAATCCTATGACTTGATATAGATGTAAGGCTGGCTTGATGGAAACCACTGCTGATAAATTGGAAGCCAGTCTGTGGAACATACAGTCCTTCCCCTTTCACCCTCCCTTCCTCCTCTCTTCCATTAATCCATGGGTAACAGTGACTAAGTTACATGTACACTGACATGACCCCATAGTTAATGCTAACCAAAGTTAGTGCCAGTGCACACGTGACCTCAAACCACGACAAACCATGGTTTCCTTATAAATTAGGCTTTTGAAAACACAATTGAAGCGGTTCAGTAAATTAATTTAATGAGAAAACCTGGTTACCACTACTTTAGCATAGAACTCTAAACTGTGGTAATGCTGAAGGAGGAATTTGATCTGTAGAGAGAATTATGTTCCTGAGTCTGACCCCTGACATGCAAACCACGGCTTATAGGTAGCCAGCTTCATGTCTATACTAGACTTCTGATTCAGGATTGTGATCGTAGGGATTTTCTACAAATACGCATGAGGTTTAACATTTCTTTAGCTATGCTGTTCTATGGGTTTCTTTAAAAATATTTTTGCAGTATCTTGTATGAAAGAAGGGAAGGACTGTTGGGATTGCTTCATGTGCAGGCTACGGTAGTACAAAGAATGTCACCCACGTGAACACAAAATCCATGTTCTTGGTGGATGTTTTTTCTTTTATCATGTGAGGAATCCAGTGGTGTTTTGACTCCTACTGACACAATAGTCTAAATACACTTTGAATAACAGACAGCTCAAATGGACCGCAAGACACGGCTCAGTTTCACTATTTCGTTTCCACTAATGGGAAATAGAGTACTATACCACCTGAGACTCAATATGCTCGTTGTTCCAGGAATCTAGCCCAATTTCAGTGCTGTCAGAATTAATTTTGTTCATGAAGATCCCAGTTCAAGAACAGATGAGAGCTCAAGATGCCAGGGCGCCATTTAGGAAGGGTGGTAGGTAATAGTTGATCTCTTCGCTGCTTGGAGATGGCGTATCATTATTCCTCACAAGTACCAATATCTTGGCATTAAAAAAGAACTACATCAAAGGCTTTTCAAATACACTACTCTTTTTTTTTTGGCAATGTAATCTTTGGTATAGCCCTTGAACCTTGTTGTGTTACCCCCTCATCCCATTTACACACTCGAATCTCATTGCCACTTTCCCCACTGAAAGAGGGAAGGTTAAGGTATTATTTTGAGAGTTTAATGAAAAAATGCAGTAAGCAAATACAAAGCTGATCATGCCTTGAAGACTGAGGCTGAAGTCTGATCCTGGGAGAAATAATTTTTATATATATATGTGGCAGGTATGAGCTTTTGTGAGTCACTGAAAAAGTGAGCAGTGACTCACAAAAGCTCATAGCCTGCCACAAATTTTGGTAGCTGTGTACATTCTCGTTCTCTGCTTCCCTGTTGCCAATGCCGAACTGAGATTTTTAAATAGCAGGTATTTGTTTTGGTGATTCAGAAACCCTATATTTTTCTTTCTTTTCTTCCCAAGGGCCAAACTAAAAACGTGACACCAATGGTGTCATTTTAGAGGAGAAAATGGCCCTTTAAAAATTGTGGTGAGGGCCAATCAGTGGAACCAGACAATCTTGTTTCCTCCCCTCCATGCCTTTTAAAGTGCTTTATCAGTCATTCTAACAAAAGATTCCCTGCGGCACAACTTATGTGCCAAATTCCCAAACTACTTTTCAAATTTGAATGAATGTAAAGGTGTTCTTGGGGCAATGCTTGAACTACAAAACTTAAAAACCCTTCAGGAACATACACACTTTTGGTTATCAGTCCTCAATCACAGAAGCCGTCTATACCCCTGTTCCTTAAGATTATTCTGTAGGCAAACATGATAAGAACATAAGAGAAGCCAATGTTGGATCAGGCCGACGGCCCATCCAGTCCAACACTCTGTCACACAGTGTCAAAAAATACCAGATGCCATCAGGAGGTCCGGCAGTGGGGCCAGAACACTAGAAGCCCTCCCATTGTTGCCCTCCCCAAGCACCACGAAGACAGAGCATCACTTGCCCCAGAGTCCCTATCTATATCTTGTGGCTAATAGCCTCCGATGGATCTCTGCTCCATATGCTTATTTAATTCCCTCTTGAAGCCGTCCATGCTTGTAGCCACCACCACCTCTTGTGGCAGTGAATTCCATGTGTTAATCACTCTCTGGGTGAAGAAGTACTTCCTTTTATCAGTTCTAATCCGACCACTCAGCAATTTCATGGAGTGCCCATGAGTTCTTGTATTGTGAGAAAGGGAGAAAAGTACCTCTTTCTCTACCTGCTAAATCTCATGCATAATCTTATAAACCTCAATCATGTCACCCCTCAGTCATCATTTCTCCAAGCTAAAGAGCCCTAAGCGCCTTAAACTTTCCTCATAGGGAAAGTGTTCCAACCCCTTTATCATTCGAGTTGCCCTTTTCTGCACTTTTTCCAAAGCTATAATATCCTTTTTAAGGTGTGGTGACCAGAATTGCACACCATATTCCAAATGAGGTCGCACCATTGATTTATATAGGGGCATTATGATATTGGCTGATCTGTTTTCAATACCCTTCCTAATAATCCCCAGCATAGCATTGGCCTTCTTTATTGCAGTCACACACTGTCTCGACATTTTCAGTGAGTTATCTACTACAACTCCAAGATCTCTCTCTTCATCAGTCTCTGCCAGTTCAGACCCCATCAACGTGTATTTATATTTAAGATTTTTGGCTCCAATGTGCATCACCTTGCACTTGGCCACAATGAACCCCATTTGCCATGTTGACGCCCACTTGCCCATCTTTGACAGACCCCTTTGGAGTGCCTCACAATCCTCCCTGGATTTCACCACCCTGAACAACTTCGTATCATCCGCAAATTTAGCCACTTCACTGCTTACTCCCAACTCCAAATAATTAATGAACAAGTTAAAAAGCATCGGACCTAGTACTGATCACTGCGGTACCCCACTGCTTACCACCCTCCACTGAGAGAATTTCCCATTTATACTCACTCTCTGTTTCCTATTAATTAGCCAGTTTTTGGTCCACGAAAGGACTTGTCCTTTTATCCCATGATTTTTTAGCTTACTTAGGGGCCTTTGATGAGGAACTTTATCAAAAGCTTTCTAGAAGTCAAGGTAATCAACATCTATTGGGTCCCCCTTGTCCACATGTTTATTCAGCCCCCTCAAAGAACACTAACAGGTTAGTGAGACAAGATCTTCCCTTACAGAACCCATGCTGAGTCTGCCTCAATAGTTTTTGTTCATCAATGTGTTTACTGATTTTTTCCTTAATAACAGTTTCCACCAATTTACCTGGTATCGATGTCAGACTGACTGGCCTGTAATTTCCTGGATCTCCTCTAGAACCCTTTTTAAAGATGGGAATGACATTAGCTACCTTCCATACTTGAAGCAAATAATGTATAATAAACCCTTTTTTATATATCTGATTATATAATAAACCCTTCAAAATAGATATAATTATAAAATGTATTATTTACATCATAAACCCTTCCAAATTTTGCATTCTAAACACATTTCAGTTATGAAAATTTAGTTGTATAATTTTGAACATAGTGGGATCTAGCTGATTGGGGGGGGGGATGATACAGAATGAGAACATCTTCAAAGACCTGCTCCTGGAATGTGTAAAACATACAGCATAAATGTTTTACTAAAAAGTTACATGTATAGATATTATCTAGATATTATCAAGTAGGAAATAGCATTGAGCTGAACTTGTGCATGACTCAGCCTAATGGAAAATACCATACGTGAAAATTTCTTCTTTCAATCTTGTCCAACAGAACCTGTTCCCAGAACCTCTGTCCATGCAAAATACGTCTGTACAAGCTCTGAAAGCCTTGTGGGAGAAAACCCAGCTGAAGGGAACACACAGCTTTGAAACAGCCATGGTTCAGTCTATGTTTCTGCCCCAGAAGGTAAACATTATTTCCTTTGTACAGAGACTTCTAAAACATTAATGCGGCAACAAATTCACCATATGCTTATTTAGGACCACAAAGCCCTCTGTAAGGCAAGACCGCAATGTGGTTGGCATAAGCGTCACACGATCTAGGATTACAGCAGAAGGACCCCCCCCCCAGCTCCTACCTATGACAAGGACTACGGAGGCTGGGAGCAGTGACTGGGAAGTTTGGCAGCCCCACCCTTTGCTTCCTGCTCTGAGGCAGCCCCGCCCTGAGCTCTCTGCTCAGAGGCAGCCCCACCCTCTGCTTCCTGCCCTCAGAGGCAGCCGTGCCCTCTGCTCTTTATACTCCCTGGCAGCTCAAGCTGAGAACAGTGAGGATGGGCAGGGGAGGGGGGAGAGAAGAGAGCCCCACTCCCGGGCCAGATTGAAGGCCTGGGCGGGCAAATTCCAGCCCATGGGCCATGGTTTGACCCTTTTCTGCGGCAAGTTCTGTCATTTGCTAATTGGTAAACTGCCCTGTCTCTTACATGACTGCCTGGAGTTTTCTGTGGGAAAGGTGGAATAATAAGTAAGCAAACAAATGAATGTTTGCCAAGCCACTCTTCCTTCTCCATCTGACCTACCTGAACTCTAAGGCCAGATAGCCAGACGCAAGAATAATAGCCAGAACTAAAGATTTCCAGAAATGTTTGATGGTGAATTTCTTAATTTGAGTTGGTTATCATACATCTAATTGTGAATTTGGTCCCAGAGTGCTGATTAAAAATACCCACAATGGGGCAATGTACAGATAGCACAGCTGTTTCTACAAACCTGGACAACACCAGGTTTACAGGGAAGGGCGACCTTAAATGTAAAGAAAAGGATAAAATGAAACAAGAAACCTGTTAAAATGCCAAGATCTCATGAGATTACCTCACAGATTTTAGCAGCCATTTTGAACTGCCTATGCAAGGAGTCACGGCATAGTGTCGTTGGTCACCATGGCACATGCAGACACCTTTCTGAGCACTCTCACCAAGTATTGTTTTAGAAAGTGGAGGGGCTGGAGGGCTGTTGCCCATCAGAGCTTCTGATTGGCTTCTGATTGGCCATTGGAGATCTGGTTGGCAGAGCAGATTTTTTTTTAATATGAGAGCTTTAGTAGCTGACACCCACAGTGCAAGGATCTTTACCATGTGATTGAAAGTGAGATTCAGAGGGCAGCCATGTTGGTTTGCTGTAGAACAGCTAGACTTAATTCCAGTAGCACCTTAGAAACCAACACAATTTTGAGAGTCAAAGCTCCCTTTGTCAGATGAAAGTAAGCTGTGTGTATGTAAGAAAATATTTTCCAACAATATGTTCATTTTAAAAGGAATCTTGTTCAAATGGCTTCACCTCCTGAAGCTGCCATTTTATGGTTGCACCCATCACCCTGTGTCACAATCCCAAATGACTGCTGCAATTTCCTTTTGAAAGTAAGGGTGAGTTGCAGGGAAAAGATGACGTGGGCAGGCACGAAGGACAAAATCAGCAGAGAGGAAGCAAAGCTGGGGTGGAAGGGGTGAGGAAGGCAACATGGAGCAAAACGGGTCTGGAGGGAAAGAAGGAAGGAAGCAGGGGTAGAGGAGAAGCCATGGGTGCTGCTAGGGGAGAGAAGGAAGGAATGACAGGAGGGAAGATGGCAGATTAAGGGAAGACCGAGGAAGGTAGATGGGTGAGTAAGGAAAGGAGATAATTTACAAATGCTGCAAGGGAGAGGGAAGGATGGAAAACTGAAACAGAATGAAAGAGGGAGGCAGCAAAGGATGATATTACACGTCCCCTGCTTGTAATAACTGTATTAACAAAGTGAGTGTTTTGAGTTTGCTTGTTTCTTTTGTTAATATCCTAATACACTTCCCTACCACCTAATGTGGACCATTATCCCATCCCCATCCAGAGATTTAAAAAGTTGGCAAAGCATATAGGTGTTGCTAGAATGATGTACTTGCTATCTGTGAATTCATTCTTCTTTGGAACACTAGTAGCCAGATGTGCTTCTCTTGTAGCTTTATGTAGTATCCTTAATTTTTAATGTCAAAAAACACTTTCAAAACCATGTACTTCAGGTTAGTTAACTGTGGGCAGGGTTTGTCTCCTATTTCTTGACAGTACTTAGTTTTGCAAAACGCTATGGAAATAATAGTCTTGAATGTTCCTTCATACCAAAATTTCCTGTTATGTAGAAAGTTGAATGTCAGGGAGAAGAATACTAGCATAATATGACAGTTTTGTATATACAAAGGCTTTGTTTTATGAAGGAACATTTAATTATGCAATCCACACCTGCTATTGGAAGTGCAGTCCTGGAACTCATAGGGTGCATTCAGACGGGGCATTTATACCGGTATAAACTGCAGTTCCAACTGGTGCAATTTGATCCGGAAGAAATGCGATCACACTCACCTCCTGACTGCACAGCACATCGTGATATGCCCGTTCACACTACTGATGCACAGCAGCGTGCGTCGGCGTTTTTTTTAAATTACATTTTGCACATGCGCATAGGCAGCCATCCACAGAGTTGAGATCTTGGCACAAGTGCAGAACACCCCATCCCGAAAAGTGTGCCCTGAAGCGAAGACGTCCCTTTAAATTTTTACTCTGAAACTGGCCTCCGTGAGGTCCCAGACTCATATAAAGCCTCACACTAGGCCCTTTTTGTTTGTTTGTTTCGCAAACACCGGGGCGAAGCTTCGCCCAAGCGCACATAGAGGAGGCTTTTAAAAAAATGGTGGCCGAAAAGCGGAAGCCTCCAGCTTCCGAACGGAAGTGGCTCTACACCAGCGGAGAGCAATCAGATGGGAATATGTGGTTGGAACCAGAGCACTCAGGATACCACCACTTGGGGACCTAGTAGCAGAATAATATGGTTAAAGGCTGTTTGCAACGGTTAGGGATGGAAGGCAGATGTTCACCGTGTGATCGCCCGTAAGTACACCGGTTCCAACCGGCATCTATACCGGCATAAATGCCCCAGCTGAACGCACCCATAGTGTGGTATAGTGGTTAACATGCTGATCTAGGCTGTGAAAGACCCATGTTCAAATCCCCACTGTGCCATGAAACTTACTGGATAACCTTGGACACCTCCCCCCACCCCTCTCTCATCTAACATATCTCATAAGGTTGTTCTGAGGATAAAATGAGGAGAGAAGAACTATATACATTACCCTGAGCTCTTTGGAGGAAAAGCAATAAGAAATCTATTATGTTGGCCTATGTATATAGTTCTTGAATTATTCTTACACTTTCTTGCTGGATCAAACTAAGGATCCATCTTGTCCAGGAGATGACTCAAATAGGTGGACAAGAATATTATGTAATATAGTCCCATTGTTCATCCCAAGAATCTCTGAGATATACCTCCTCTTTAAACTTAGCTATCATGGTTGACATTAACAAGCATATCTTCCAGAACTGGAGGACAGGGGTTGAGAAGTTAGCAAGAATTAGGAATCCAAGCCCTGCAATTCCTCTATCATTGTCATCTGTATTGTGCTTTGAAAGGTCTTCGGGTTTTGCTTCTAATCCTATACACATGCTTTTAATATGTGGATGGAAACTGCAAATGGTATGTGGTGTTTGTTCTTATTTATAAAAACGGGCTGAGGAGAGAATCGTTTCAAGCACCAAGCTAAGAGGAAGCAGCCCATAATGAATTTTCAGATGCCTTGTGCAAATGCACACAGTTGTGGGTGATGGCATGGACTCCAGGAGGGTTAACAACTTGTGCATATTTGGTTCTCTCAACCTTTGCCCTTTGAAGAGATTACTGTTTCAAAGCAATTACGTTTTCAAAGATTGTAAAGAATACTGTTTCAAAGCACAGCAGAGATTTCTGGTCAAAGTTATTAATCTTTAATTGGGGTTCATGCAAGTGACCACCATGGAATTTGTTTAAAACAAAAACATATTTGAGGTAAGTCTTGACTGCCTACAACTACCTTAAAAAAAACCCTACACAATCCTAACTTAAAATTCCGTAATTGAAAACAAGAGAAGAACATTTCTTTTTAAAACCTCCACTGACATTTTGACTGATAGAGAAAATACATCCACAAAATGCATAAACCAGGGAAGAGCTACATTTGCTAAGCAGCTACCTAAAGAGCATGCTCTGTTCATACATATGAATATCTTTTGGCCTTCGACCAATACACCGGATCGTTCAACTATACCTTCGCTTCAGGGAAGATCATCATTCTTGCCATTCTCAGATAATATCTATTGATATGGATTAAATGGCTCTAGTATACACAAAGCCATATAATTGTGTTACTGCTTTATTTCTTGTCCCTTTCCAAGGCTATTCTATTCTCGGTCTCTATACTCCCATTTAGCATGTTTAGCTGAGAGGCTAGACCAGCTCTGTCTCTGGTGCACAGAAATATCTTCCATGATCAAGTTCAGCCTCTGTTCCCCTATATTCCTGGCCATACCTGTGACATACTGTTATTATGAGAACTACTTAATAGACACTGGTAGACCTATCCATCAGTTCATCTAATGTGCCTGATCTTCTGTGATGGCCCTCTAAACCAGTAACTGATTTATTTTTATTTATACCCTACTTTTCTCCTTGATGGGAACCCAAAGTGGCTTACAACATCGTTCTTCCCTCCTCCATTTTATCCTCATGACAACAACTCTGTATAGGGTTGCCAAGTGGCACTTACCTTGCCGGCGGGGGACTCCCGTGCGGATCCTGGCACGCGGATTCCGGCGCACGCGCTGCATGCACGTCACAGGGAAGTGACGTCATGACGCCGGGCATGCTGGGGGTGGGGCCACGACCATACAAGGGAAAACCATAGAGTTTTCCCTTGTATGGCCGTGGCCCCGCCCCCAGCGTGCCCGGCGTCATGACGTCACTTCCCTGTGACGTGCACGCTGGGGCGGGGTTCCCCCCGGGGCCCGATTCCCTGGCGTCGGAGAACGGGCCTCTGGGGCGGAGGGATTTCCACCCCCCAGGGGGACTTGGCA